ACAGGTTCCCACCGTACCAGTACGTGCCTCGCCATTGCCTGGTGAACAAGGCTGGGTTGCTCCACATTCCCAACATCGTGGAGAAAGAATACATGATGGGGCTACCAGTAGGTTACGCGCAGATGTGCCTGCCGAAAGGTCAACGGAAGTCCACAGAGTACCAAGATAAACGCTTGACCTTGGTAGGGAACGGATGGTCCGTGCCTGTCGTGGCCGGGCTCATCGGGGAATTGGTCGGTCCAAGGGGTCGGGGAGCTCGGAAGCCACCCTGGTGGAACAGTTGGGGCGACTGGTCTCTACAAAAGGCGCGGACATCATGCTCATCAGCACGCCGGACGAAGTACAGAGCCATCAGCGACTTCGACGTACAGTAAATCCCAAGATGTGGAAATGGAGAGTCATCTCCGGATGGAAGTGGACAGGTCAGGGAGAACACATCAACTCCCTGGAACTGCGAGCCTGTCTGGCCTGCCTTCGATGGAGGTTAGAGCACGTTCAGGAGCACGATTGCCGTATACTACATCTCACAGATTCGCTGGTATGTCTACACAGCATGACGTGTGGAAGGACTTCAAGCCGCCGCCTGAGACGGACCCTCTGCCGAATCAACTCGCTCTTGCTAGCGCGCAACGGGGTTGGACTTTGGGGATATGTCAGCACTGACCTTAACCCTGCGGATCGTCCGTCTCGGTGGGCAGTGCACACCAAGTTTCGCCATGCCAAAGGTCGTCTTTGAAGGAAGTGCCCAAGCTAGAAGAGCGCAGGATAAGCAGAAGTTAGGCAGCTTGAAACAGTTGACAGTACAACCCTCCACTCGTTTGCGATACGAGAAAGCTCTGAACAAATTTCTTTCGTTCCTCTTGCCGAGTAAACGCGAGCAGCTAGATACTCTTGTCATGGAGTACATAGAACATCTCTGGCTCTCGGGGGAAGGGCGTGGACTGGCCGCCGATATACCCTGGCATCGCTGCAAGACTACGATGCAAAGTTGCGGGGGCACCTCCCTGGCGCATGGCGCTTGGTAAAAACGTGGGTTACCCATGAATTGCCAAACCGCGCACCGCCGGTACCAGAGCTAGTCTTGCAGAGTATGGTTGGTTGGAGCCTTTACCATGGCCATTTTGCATTTGCCACTAGTTTGCTGCTCTGCTTTTACGGAATTTTAAGGACAGGTGAACTGTTAGATGTGAACCGGAGCCGGATCGAAATTTCGGCCAAGCTCCGCACAGCAGTTGTTTCCTTGAAGTTGACGAAGGCGGGTAAGAGGGCAGGTGTCCAGGAAAGCGTCTCCGTCAGTCATGATACCGCCTTTCGCTATGTACAGCACTGGACACAACTAGCGTCAAGTCACCAAAAGCTATGTCCCTCGCCACCTCGATGGCGGAAACTAAGACTTGTGTCGAAAGCCTCAAGCTAGAGTCCTTGGAACTGAGACCCTACTCGCTTAGGCGGGGGGGGCGACATGGTGGTTTTGCCAACATGGCAACCTTGACCGTGTCATGGTCCTTGGGCGCTGGCAAGCCCAGAAAACCGCCCGAATGTACTTGAACGAATCTAGGACCATTTTGGCCGAAATGCGCCTCTTGCACCCTACCGATGCTTTTTTTCAGAATGCTACCCCTAGGAATTTTGAAACGCTTGAGCCGTTGCAAAGCAACAGGCAGTCCTCGAAACGAGGCCTAGGGGGACGTGGAAGAATAAATCAAACTTCCAAAAAACCAGCGAAGAAAGAGCGAAAAACAAATC